ATAAATATTCCTATTCACACCTTAATAGATGTGACAATTTTTCTAAGTTATGTATGTAGCAATGGGATTTCTGGATCATAAACTACATAGATCTCACCTTTATTAGGTTCTGACAAACTTTTCCATAGTGGATGGGTCAGTGTGCCCTCCCTTTAGCAGTGTATCAATGTTCCTTAATCCTTAACAATTCTTGATGCAATCAGAAGTTTTTTTCCAATATTATTCATCTATTCTTCTATCTCACCAGAACCCATTCTGCCTCTGAGATACCTGGAAATGCTAATTCTCAGACTTTCTGAGGCTCTGCAATGTAAGCCAGCCTTCTTGTCTTTGCCCATTTTGTGCTCTACGTACATGAATTCCTGCTTGTCTTTATGCTTCCAAGCTTAAAAAATTTGCTGTTATCTCAATCTACATTGTCACTGTCTTTGTGAATTTATGTCTTTTTAACTCCTAAATTATTTTTTCAGTTTTGTGGAGTTTCAGATAGAAATTTAGAAAAATGAATGTGTACAATCAAATTCTTTAATTATTTTATTTGTATACACATCTGTCATTTTCAAATATTCATCCTTCTACAAAGACACAAGACAACCATGGTCAATCTAAAAATGATTATGGCTGTGCTTAAATAAACACTATTTACACAAATAAAAAGTGAACTGAATTTGGCTCGTGAATCACATTTTATTGACCCTTAATACAAACTCACAGCCTACCTGATTGTCTGAGATTGTGAATAGCATATGAAAAACATGTTCTCAAACATGCACTGCGTCCAAGACTTGTGTAGAAGAATTATTTGTGAGACTTTATTACTCACATATAATGGCTTAGCAGATTTCCATCAGCTTGCTCTCTACCCCAGCTTTTTCTGGGCACTGCAGTGGAAATGCAGGTGGGCCGGACCAGGGTAAAAAAGCACATTGATTCCAAAAGCCAAAGAAAGTTTTTACTCGAACATCAAGTGAAATATTTTGAGAAGAAATTCTGTATAAACTATCTTTACATTTTTGTTCTTGGTTAGTTTTCAGTATTGAGTTTTCAGTATAATAAGTCCAAAATAGTCACCACTATAAATTATAATTCTCTGAAGTTTTATCAACTGAAATATTTAGTTTTTCTAGTATTAACATATGTTAAGGATGTAGGAAATACTAGTAGAGGAAAATACCACCTCAAACATTTAAGCTTTGCTATACACTTGGCATTCTATTCCCAGGATTCTGGCAAGGGAGGTCACTGGAATGGGAACAGTCTTAACCACAGAATGATGGGATTTCTGTTAATGCAGCATATGATTCATGGTTTTATGTAAGCAGTGGATGAATATTTTACTTTCTAATGTGTGATGTCTGGGAGGAAATGGTTCACAGAGACCTGGTGCAACTGAGCTTATGTCACAATAACTCTGGTTATCAGCGGTGTCTCTAGTATAAGGATGGAGCAACTCAATCAACTTGAGGGAGTTAGATAAGGATGCATGCTGTCACTTCACTCTGTCCACTCCAAGTTCAATCATTGCTGATGCAACAAGAGATGGGGCCCTTAGGAGATGATTGGGCCATTAGGGCTCTTCCTTTATTAAGTACCTTTATGAAGGGTCAGACAGAGGGAGTTTGCCATTTTGCCTCTGCCATATGAGGACATGTCAGCAAGAAGGCCTTCATAAGATGTAAATTTCTTTAACTTGGACACGCCAGCCTCCAGAACTGTGAGAAATAAACTTGTGTTCTTTATAAATTACCCAGATTTGGTATTTCAATTATAGCAATGCAATGTACTAAGAAAGATATGGTTACAATTGTGCCCCTTCCCCAAAAGTCATCAGAAGTTTCTAAAAATCAAATGAGTTCTGGGTGATTAATAGTGTCTCCAGGGGCTGGCGCTGTGGCACAGTGGGTTAAAGCCCTGGCCTGAAGCGCCGGCATCCCATATGGGCGCCAGTTCTAGTACCGGCTGCTCCTCTTCTGATCCAGCTCTCTACTATGGCCTGGGAAAGCAGTAGAAGATGGCTCAAGTCCTTGGCCCCTGCATCCATGTGGGAGACCTGGAAGAAGCTCCTGGCTCCTGGCTTCGAATTGGCACAACTCCAGCCTTTGCTGCCATCTGGGGAGTGAAGCAGTGGATGGAAGACCTCTGTCTCTACCTCTCTCTGTAACTCTGTCTTTCAAATAAATAAAATAAATCTTAAAAAAATTATGAGATAAAGGGATCACATAAACAAGACTAGTGTCTGAAAATACTAACTGATAGAATAAAAAAGAGAGAGAACGATCCAACATGGGAAGTGAGATACACACCAGACCCATAGAATGGCAGATGTCCTAAACAGCACTCTGGCCTCAGAATCAGCCCTTAAGGCATGTGGATCTGGTTGAAAAGCCCATGAGAGTATTTCAGGCATGAAAAGCCAAGACACTCTGGCAAAAAAAAAAAAAAAAAAAATGACCAAAATGAAAGATCTCCGCGAGTGAGATCCCAGGTCATCAAAGAAGGAGGTACCTTTCTCTGAAGGGAGAAGAGAAATTCCACTTTGACTGTGACCTTGCCTAAATATGATCAGAGTCGGTGAACTCAAAAGGCTTCCATAGCCTTGGAAACTCATGACAACAGCCTAGGGTGATTACTGATGCCATAAACAAGAGTGTCAATTTGTTAAGTCAACAACAGGAGTCACTGTGCACTTATTCCTCATGTAGGATCTCTGTCCTTAATGTGCTGTACATTGTGATTTAATGCGATAACTAGTACTCAAACAGTATTTTTCACTTTGTGTTTCTATGTGGGAGCAAACTGTTGAAATCTTTACTTAATATATGCTAAACTGATCTTCTGTATATAAAGAGAATTGAGAATGAATCTTGATGTGAATGGAATGGGAGAGGGAGCGGGAAAGGGGAGGGTTGCGGGGTGGGGGAGGGAAGTTATGGGAGGGAAAGCCATTGTAATCCATAAGCTGTACTTTGGAAATTTATATTCATTAAATAAAAGTTAAAAAAATTATGAGATACAACAAAAGTATTGTTAAGAGAGAAGCTTGTAGCAATTAATGCCTACATCAACAAATCGGAAATTCATCAAATAAACAAGCTAGCAATGCATCTCAAAAGCCTAGAAAAACAACAAACCAAACCCAAATTGGAAAACAGGAATTCAAATTATCCTTGTTTGCAGATGACACAATTAAATGTGTGTGTATATGTGTGTGTGTGCATGTGTGTGTGTGTTTGTGTGTGTATTGGGAAAGGAAGAGAGAGAGAGAAGAGAGAGAGAGAGAGTGAGGGAGAGAAGAACTAAAAGATTCTTCTTTGGAATTAATAAGATATTTTGGTAAAGCTGTGAGAAATGAAATTAACACAACAAAATCAATAGTCTTTGTATATGTAGACAATGCCTTGGCAAAGAAAGAACCTGTAAGATTAATCCCATTCACAAAAGCTACAAAAATTTAATTTCCTTGGAATAAATTTAAACAAATTTGAAAGATATCTACAATGAAAATAGCAAAACATTTAAAAGAAATAGAAGAAGACACAAAAATAGAAATTTCTTCCACATTCATGGATTGGAAGAATTAGTATCATTAAAATGTCTATAATATCAAAATAATTTACAGATTCAATGTGATCCAAGTCACAATAACAATGACATTATCTTCAGATCTAGAAAAAAGATGCTAAAATTCATATGGAAACAGAAAAGACCAGAATAACTAAACCAATATCATACAACAAAAACAAGGCTGAAGGCATAACCATACCAGACATCTAGACATACTGCAGAGAAGTTATAATCAAAAAAGCCAGGCACAAAATAAGAAAGTAAACCAATGAAAAACAATACAAAAACAGAAGTTAATTCACTCATCTAAAACCTAGTAATCTTTGATAAATGAGCTGAAGTCAATCCTTGGACAATGAACAATCTCTTCAACAAATGGTGCTGGGAAAATTGGATCTCTATGTGCAGAAATATGAAATGAGACTCTTACTTTACACCTTATACAAAAATCAACTCATAAAGTATCAATGATGCATATCTACGACCTGATACCATCAAATTAATAGAGGAAAATTTTGAGGAAATTCTGTAAGATATTTGCATAGGCAAAGCCTTCTTGGAAAGAACTCCAGAAGCAAAGGCAATTAAGCAAAATAGACAAAAAGGATTACATCAAGCTAAGAACAATCTGCACTACAAAGGAAACACTTAACAAAGAGTCAACGGATAGAATGGGAAAAATATCTGCAAACTATGCAACTGTTAAAGGATTTGTATCTAGAATCTATAAACAACTGAAGAAGTCAACAACACCAGAACAATGGATGAAATTCAAACAGCCAACAGAAACATGAAAAAATTGCTCAGGATCACTAGCAATCAGGAAAATGCAAATAAAAACCAAATTGAGGGGGCCAACAACGTGGCACAGTAGGTTAATCCTCTGCCTGTGGAGCCAGCATCCCATGTGGGCTCCAGTTCTAGTCCCAGCTGCTCCTCTTCCAATCCAGTTCTCTGCTGTGGCCTGGGAAAGCAGCAGAAGATGGACCAAGTCCTTGGGGCCCTGCACCCACGTGGGAGACCCGGAAGAAGCTCCTGGCTCCTGACTTTGGATCGGCGCAGCTCTGGCCTTTGCGGCCATTTGGGAAGTGAACCAATGGATGGAAGACCTTTCTCTCTGTCTCTGCCTCTCACTATCTGTAACTCTTAACTCTCAAATAAATAAATAAAATCTTGAAAAAAAAACCACATTGAGGTATTACCTCTCCCCAGTTAAAATGGCTATCATGAAAAAATTGGAAAACAATAAATGCTACAGAGAATGTGGGGGAAAATGTGCCCTAAATCACTTTTGGTGAGAATGTATACTTGTAGACCCATTATGGAAGACAGGATTTAAATTACTCAGAGATCTGAAATACATCTACCATATGACCCAGGCATCCCACTTCTGGGAATTCTTCCAAAGGAAATGGAATCAGCATATTAGATGCATTTGTACTCCCACTTTTATTCCAGCTCAGTTCACAATATTTTCTCCCATTCTTTAGGTTGATTCTTCACTTCTTTGAGTATTTCTTTTGTAGTGTGGAAGCTTCTTAGCTTGATGTAATCCCATTTGTTTATTTTGCTTTAATTGCCTGTGTTTCTGGGGTCTTGTCCAAGAAATCTTTGCCTACATCAATTTCTTGCAGAATTTTCTCAATTTTTTCCTCTAAGATATGGAATCAAAGCAGACATCTATCATCTGATGACAGGATAAAGAAAATGTGGTTTAAAATATGTTAAGTGCAGGAAAGCAAGCAAGAAAGCCATTATTTTATGACTCTATTTGTAAGATCTACAATACACAAATCCACAGGAACAGAACATATACAGGTTATTTCCAGATCCTGTGTGCAGATCACTGAAAGTATGCTCTAATTAGCAGAGGGTTTGTTCAATGAAATGATGGAAATATTCTCGATTTATATGATGTGACGGTTGCACAAATCTGTGAATCTAAAATGACTCATAATGATTAATTTTATGATATATAAAGTTATTTGGTGTTAGAAATTTTGTTCTAGTACATGTGTATCTACATTTTTCATTGTAAAATAGTTCATCATAGTATTTCCAGCCACTAACACAGACATGGTGATACCCTTCTGAATAACTTACAACTTTCTGGATTCTGGCTATTTGCCATAATATGAAATTTTGTGTTTTTTTTTTAAAGATTCATTCATTTACTTATTTATTGAATATATATATATATATATAAATCTTATATATATATAAATCTTCCATTCACTAGTTCACTCCCTGAAGTGCTGCAATGACCAGTGATGAACCAGGCCAAAGCCAGGAGCTAGGAACTTCATCTGGGTCTCCCATGTGGGTAGCAGGAGCCCATATACTTAGGCCATCTTTCACTGCTTTTTCTAAGTGATTTGCTGGAACCTGTATTGGAAGTAGAGCAGCAGGGAAATGAATAGTTAACCCACATGGGATATTGCAGGCAGCAACCTAACCTGCTATGCCAGAAAGTTGGCCCCAGTATGAAATATTTAAACTCACTTTCACTTTGGGAATTCATTTCATTCAAGTTATAAAATTGAGAGAGTCTAGTTTCAACACGAAATATATTGTATATTCTTTTGTATTGTTATTCATTTGTGTTTACCATTAAAGGACTTAATAGTGAATTCACTCTCATTACATTGTGTCATAACTAACCTTAGTGCTGATTCCCTAGTTTCTCCTGCCTGTTTCTTATTATGCTTGAATCTCAGTTGTTGTTTTTCATAGTATATGGTCTTTAATAATAGCAAGCTATATATTGGTCTTTACCAAAAAGAATTTTTTTGCAGAATTTCTGTCCATGAAAACCCCTTTGGAATAATGGCATTTTCCCATTAAGAACATGTGTTTTCTCTCTCTTTTGTGCATTCTAAAATGTCATTGCACAGCTACTGAAAGCTGACTCTGAAAGCAAAGCAAAGCAAAAAAAAAAACTCTGGATTTCTGATCAACAATTGTAGTGTTAGGTAAAATTGGGCATAAAATTACCACTATGCTAATAATTCAATATAGAGATGATTGTGAACAAAATGATAATGCCAGCTGAGAAAAGAAAGAAATGTATGGCTCTCCTCAGTATAAGTGTTATGTAGAATTTAATATATAGAAAAACATCATACTTATGTGGGTCATATTATTATGTTAATAATATAGCTTTAGAAGCAAATTAAATTATCTTCATACTTGTGACTCAGAAGTAAATTTGCCTTCAGTACATTTCTTGTCAAGGTCTTGCCTGAACTACTAATGCCCTTTCATGTTTGAACAAATATAAACAGTTATTCAATATTGTGTTTTATGTCTATGTTAGAAATCACAATTCTGCTCCAAATTCTTTATGAGGCTTAAAGCCAGAGTAATGAAAAAGTAAATGATTTTAACAGATTTCTGACCCAAATGGAATGAAGCAGGAAATTAATAATATAAGAGACTCTAGAAAAGTATGAAAACACATGGAAACTGAACATGCTCCTTATCAACAGTGGATCACAGAAGAAATTTTAAAAATTCCTATAAATGAATGAAGATAAAAACACAATATATCAAAACTTATGGATTACCATAAAGGCAGAGTTAAAGGGAAAGTTTGCAGAAATTAGTGCCTACATCAAGAAATTGGAAGGATATCAAAAGTGATTTAACAATGCCTCTCACGAACCTGGAAAAATAAGAACAAACCAAACCCAAATTGGTAGGAGGAAGGAAATAATAAAAATTAGAGAAGAAATAAACAAATTTAAAACTTAAAAGAATGTAAAAGATCAGTGAAATGAAGTGCTGGTTTTTTGAAAAAATAAAAAAAAATGATACATCATTGGCCCAACTCACCCTCCACAAAAAAAAAAAAAAATCAAATTCATAAAATCAGAGATGTAAAAGCAGATGTCTCAAAGTTTCCACAGAAGTAAAAATATTCATCAGAAATTACAGCCAAATGCCAACAACTGGAAAATCTAGAAAAAAATTGGATTAGATTTCTGAACACGTACGATTTACCAAAATTGAGGAAAAAAGATATAAAAACCTAAATAGAATCAATAACAAAGATGGTGATTAATAAAGTGAGCCACAGCACTGGCTCTGAAATAGAATCGATAACAAAGATGGTGATTGTGTCAGTAATAAAAACCTCCCAACAAAGAAAATCCCAGGACCAGATAGCTTCACTACTGAATTGTGCCAAACTTTCATAGAACTATTCTTAATACCTCTTATACTACCCAAGACAATTGAAAGGGAGAGAATCCTCCCAAACTTCTTCTATGAGGCCAGCGTCACCCTAATTCCAAACATGGAAAAAGATAGAACCACTACTGTGGTTCCTGACTCCAGCTTCCTGCTAGTGCAGATCCTGGGCGACAGGGATGAGTGCTCAAGGAATTGGGTTCCTGCCACTGATAAACAAGGCCTGGAAAGTTTTCCAAGCTCCTAGCTTTGAGCATTGGAGGAGTGACCCAGCAGATCTCACATTATCTGTCCCTATGTCTGTCCTTTGCCTCTCAAATTTTTAAAAAACAATGAAAATGGGAAGAATGTAGATCAATGTAGTAATATTTCTATTTATGTACAAGGGTACTCTCAAATTTTCTTGGAAATACATAATGAAAAGATAAGTTTATTTTGGCACAAAAGATTTTTAAATCCATGCGAAGCTTTTTTATAATATACAATTCCTATAATGTTTTTAAAGACCCCTTGTATAATGATATTAAGAGTAATTCATATTTTTCTCTTGAAATTTCTGTGTATTTGTGTATTTTTACATCTTTGACAACATAATAAACATCTCTTATTTTATGTATAAAAATATTAATAACTGATATAAATGTCTTTGCCTTAAATGTTCTGGCACCACATGAATTCTGTGAAATATCTCATTGCAAAATTCACATGAGTAATAACAAGCAAAATATAAATTTAATCTCACAGATTTCCTTGTAAGAAAATGACAGCATCTTGAATTTATTTATTAGTAAAGTGGTTGGAAGATGGAAACCTTTACATAAGTGCCAAGTATTTTTATTGATCATTAAGAATACTCAACGTAGCCCAAGTGATTCTCTTCATTACTGGCACAAAACCCATTTTCTCTAGGCAGATGATAATGACTTACTAAGAATATTGACATTTTAAAAAGTCTGTAACTAGAAGAGATGGTATACTGGGAACACTTACCTTTAATTTAAGACTTGTTCTTTATATTTTCTGGAAGCAGTTCTGCATTTGTTTTTGTCAAATTCTAATCTTGCTGTGTTATAAATTTTGTCTGAAATTGCGACATCAATGAAATTTTCAAAAACAATGATTCTTCTTAACAAGAATGTCTTAGTTGCAGATGGGTTTCTGTGATGTGCTTATCTACTCAGTACTGGATTAGTGGCAACAGCATCTGGGAACCATAAAAATGTTAAGTCAGACAGAGATGTTTAGAGTTGAGCAAGGAGCTGGGAGTGTATAGATTTTTTGTGGGCTGGTATGGATCTGCTACAGGATGTTTTCTGAGTTTTGTCCACCAGATTGATTGTCCTCTCAGTGTTTCACAGGCACTAAATTGCTAATGATTACCTGCAAGGCAAGGGTTACAAGGGTTACAGTTATGTATGTTTGAGGAAGGGATGTAGGCAGGGAGGTGACTAGCAGTGAGGAATAAGGATTGCCAGCACCTGCATTGCAGTCCCACTTTGAGTGCCGCAGCCATACATGAACCATCCAAATTCCAGTCACCTCTAAGCAGACTGCAGCTGCTGAGGTTTCCCTGCTTAAGAGCTGGCCTCGGCTGGAAAGATCCAATAAGGCCGCAGGTGTGTTCCTATGATGACACTTAGGTCATTATAATGTCATCATAATAAAATCTCTATGGCTGACACACCCACTCCCATCACTCACCTGATGCCATACATTTCAAGATTCTCATATGTGTGCTGCAGCCCCACCAGCACCAAGAAAACCTCACTGTCATCATAGATATGACTCTATGAAATTTCTGAAATTTCCAAAACATAAAACGGGCATGGAAATGGTGGTACCCAAGCCCACCCCAAACACAACTTCCCTTGAATATTTAATTAAGCACCACTGCAGATACCTCTTCCAAAGTCTTCCAAAGTGTGAAAGGACTGCTTCAAAACTTGTACAGGGCAGCACTCTGTCTTTAGGTTCTCTCCACTCCCTCCTGAGCAGGGACTTGCCTTTCCCCTTTAAATAAATCTTAGGTTCCTACTCAGTTTTACCTGCGTCTCTTCCTTGGATTCTTTGTCTCCTAGAAACAAGAACCTGCACCAAGTCTAACCAGAAGCCACCCCCACAGCAAAAGGAACTGAAGCTCAGAGCTTGTTACATGGCCAAAATAACACGGGGAAGTTTCTAAATAGAGCCTGATGACTCTTCTGCAGCATAGGGAGATTTGCATCACTCTACCCGGAGGTCAGGTGTAAGTTGAGAACTGAAGAGGATCAAATGAGGAAAAACTCCTCCACGCTTCGTGTTATTTCTGCCCTGATGATGACATTTATTTTGGGGATTCAATCTCATTAAACAAAGAAATTTTTGTTGCATGATTTCAGGGTCAGATGGTAGGTATAAAATAGAATCAGCTGATACAATTTCCATTCTTAGATCTTTCTCTAATTAGCTATTGTTTCTTACATATTCAGTAGGAATAATTATGTATTATATAATTTGTTAGCATTATAAGAAGCCAAAAGATGTAGAAAAGTAAAGTAGTAACTAATCTCTTATTCATAATGTTGCTATTCCCTCAGGCTTTAGAGTGATTGTCTTGTAAAATTGGTTAATACATTTATTTGAAAGGAGAAGAGAGAGCAGGTAGTGGGGGAGGGAAAGAATGAGACAGAGAGAGAGTCTTCTCTCTTCTGTTCACTCCCCAAATGCCCACAGTGGCCAGGAAAAGAAGCCTGGAGCTGGGAACTTACTCCAGACTCCTACATGTGTGGCAGAGACACAACTACTTGAGCCATCATTGCTGCCTCCCATGATCTACATTGACAAGAAATTGCCATGAGGTAGGATTCAAATCCAGGCACTCCAATATGAAACATGGGAGTTTCATATGATATTTTAGAGTAGCTCTTTAATGCTTTGACTTATTTCCTAATATATTGAAAAGTTAATGAAATAATTGTCTCTTGTTTCCTATGTTTTAATTTTCGTTCTGAAAAGTGATGGCTAAGTTACTGTACAAGATGCCCTTCACATTTATTCTTCTGGCTCTTCAGCTTCTGTAATTCTGTACATTCAAATTGAAGCATATGCTTTACTAGGGAAAAATTCCTTTAACATGTTATTCCCATTGTCTAGCTCCATAGAAGGAAATATTTTAACACTTCATGCAACTTTTTCCAGGTACCACAATCCCTAGCAACATCAAATAGGTTAAGTAGTTTGGTGAGTCACTGATTAAATCCTAAGTAGGATATACCCATGTAACTCTCTTGAGGACTCAGTTGCAAAAATAATTACAAGACCGTATCTCAAATATTTTAAAATGATTAACTAACCTAGTAATGTTGTAGAACAACCCACAAACTGATTGGAGGATTTGCTATAGAACACTCAAAATTGGGTCCACTCCTCTGATCATGTGATCATCTGTTCAGTCATCCAATCCCTATGAACAGGAGAGTGGAAGAAATTGAGTAGCTGTTGAAAATCACAGAACAAGGAGCCAGGAAGCTCTCATTTAATTCCTGAGCTCCCTGAGGTGTTAGGAATAAAGGTTCTTGTAGACTGAGATTGAGGCAAGCTCAGCATGTGCTTAAATTCCTGCTTGGTTTGCACTACTAAATTCAGTATGATAATTTTAATAAAAGGTTGATTTCATGATCATACAATCTGGACAAGGAAATTCTAAGCTAAAGGAAGGATATTGGAAGACTGTGGAAGACTAGGACCTGACAAAATATTGCATCAGCATCAAAGGCACTGTGTAGGGATTCAGTTTCAGGAATGCTAGTTTGAACAATTTATATTGTATTATGTGATAAAAAAAAAACAACTTCCAGATCCGAATGCCTTAAGGGCTGCTGTGTATCCCACTTCCCATGTTGGATCGTTCTCTCCCTTTTTAATTCTATCAGTTAGTATTAGCAGACACTAGTCTTGTTTATGTGATCCCTTCGACTCTTAGGCCTATCAGTATGATCAATTGTGAACTGAAATTGATCACTTGGACTAGTGAGATGGCATTGGTACATGCCACCTTGATGGGAGTGAATTGGAATCCCCTGGCATGATTCTAACTCCACCTTTTGGGGCAAGTCAGCTTGAGCATGTCCCAAATTGTACATCTCCTCCCTCTCTTATTCCCACTCTTATATTTAACAGAGATCACTTTTCAGTTAAAATTTAAACACCTAAGAATAATTGTGTGTTAATTAAAGAGTTCAACCAACAGTATTAAGTAGAACAAAAAAGAAATACTAAAAGGCATAAAGTATTAAGTTGTACATGGGATCTGGCTGAAGAGCCCATGAGAGTATTTTAGGCATGGAAAGCCAAGACACTCTGGAAAACAAACAAACAAACAAACAAAAAACACAAAAAACAAAACCCTAAATGAAAGATCTCTGCGAGTGAGATCCCAGTAGAAAGAACAGGCCATCAAAGAGGGAGGTACATTTCTCTGAAGGGAGGAAAGAACTTCCACTTTGACTATGACCTTGTCTAAATAAGATCGAAATCAGCGAACTCAAAAGGCTTCCATAGCCTTGGCAACTCATGACAAGAGCCTAGGGAGATTACTGACACCATAAACAAGAGTGTCAATTTGTTAATTTAACAACAGGAGTCACTGTGCACTTACTCCTCATATAGGATTTCTGTCCTTAATGTGTTGTTCAATGTGAATTAATGCTATAACTAGTACTGAAACAGTATTTTATACTTTATGTTCTGTGTGGGTGCAAACTGTTGAAATTTTTACTTAATATATACTAATTTGATCTTCTATATATAAAGAGAATTGAAAATAAATCTTGATGTGAATGGAATGGGAGAGGGAGCAGGAGATGGGAGAGTTGCGGGTTGAGGGAAGTTATGGGGGGGGGGAATCCATTGTAATCCATAATCTGTCCTTTGAAAATTTATATTTACTAAATAAATGTTAAAAAAACCTCCCTTATATTCATAGTTCATGCTCCCTCACTAGCACTGCATAAGTATTAATGCAATTCTATGAGAGCTGATTATAAGAGTCAAAAAAAAAAAAACAGGGGAAAAGAGTGTGCAATAAATTATCTAGATCTATATATACTGTTTCCCATTTTACCCAACATTTTAGTTCCTACTTAAGTAACAGCTTTTGTAGTTAAATCCAAGCAGCAGGATATAAATTCATGGAAACTTTAAAGTAATTAATTCCACCGTTTTCTTTATTGTAAGAAACAAATTATAAGAGGTCCAAACCTAGTAAATGGACACCTAAAAGCATCTATTTAGACCCTTTACATAGAACTGTCTCCAGATTTATACCCACCCTAAAATTTCCAACTATCTAATCTCCAAGTCTCTGGAACTGTTGGCAGCAAACCTTTATGAAGCAGGGCTGTGATCCCAGAGTAATTTGTCAACAGACACTCAGAGCTACAACTAATATTCACAGAGGTACACCTTGCAAAGTAAGAATATTATAGACCATGACTATATGCAGAAACCATGAATCACCAGCTCTAGACCTCCAACGTTTTTTTGGATTAAGGCTGAGTGTTAAACATCTTAAAGCACAAAGTAGCCAGCATTGTGGTGTAACCAGTAATGCCAACATCCCATATGGGCTCTGGTTTGAGTCCCTGCTGCTCCACTTCTGATCCAGCTCCCTGCTAATTGCCTGATAAAAGCAGTGGAAGGTGGCCAAAGTGCTTGGGACCCTGTCACCCACATTGGAGACCTGTATGAAGCTCCTGGCTTCTGGCTTCAGCCTGGCAAGCCCTGGCCATAGCTGCCATCTGGGGTGTGAAACAACAGATGGAAGCTCTTCTCTCTCTCTCTATGTCAATTTCTCTCTCTCTCTATTGCTCTTACTTTCAAATAAATAAATCTTTAAAGAAAATCTTAAAGCACAGGAAGAAAGAATAGGTAATGGTGTGAATAGACCCCAGGACCTACTAGATCTAAAGACTGGTAAATTGGTAAACCAAGAATACCATTTAAAGTTCTGATAACTTTTCAATTCTCATTTTAAACAAAGAGTATATGCTTTGCAGTATAATGATGATAAAACAAGTGAGTCTGTGGGTCAGGCACTGTGGCATAGCTGGTAAAGCCTCCCCTGAAGTGCCGTCATTCCATATGGGCGCCGGTTCGAATCCCAGCTGCTCCACTTCCAATCCAGCTCCTTTCTATGGCCTGGTAAAGGAGTAGAAGATGGTTCAAGTGCTTGGGCTCCTGGGTTGGCATGGGAGACCCAGAAGAAGCGCTTGACTCCTGGCTTCAGACTGACCCAGCTCTGGCTGTTGTGGCTATTTGGCAAGTGAACCAGTAGAGGGAAGACCTCTCTCTCTCTCTCTCTCTCTCTCTCTCTGTCTTTGCCACTCTGTAACTTTGCCTTTCAAATAAATAAATGCCTTTTAAAAAGATTAAAACTATAAAATCTTTATGAAAAACAAATGAGTCTGCTCATAGGGGAGCATTAATTCACACAGTACATTTAAACTTCACATTTTGATTCATGACTGTCAATGAAGCTGTGAGGATCCTCTATTGATTCTCAGGTTACAAACATTTTATTGTTTTTGCCTCTGGTCAGTGGTCAGCAGAAACAATAAGAACAAAAGGCAGCTCACGTTACTTATAAGGAAGTCCAGTTTCCAAGGACAGGGTACTTACTCTTTTTTTAAAGATTTATTTATTTACTGGAAAGGCAGGGTTACAGAGAGGCAGAGACAGAGAGAAAGAGAGAGGTCTTCCTCCACTGGTTCACTTCCCAAATGGCAGCAAAGGCTGAGATAGGCTGATCCAAAGCCAGGAGGCAGGAATTCTTCCAGGTCTCCCATGCAAGTGCAGAGGCCCAAGGACTTGGGCTATCTTCTACTGCTTTCCCAGGGCATAGCAGAGAGCTGGATCAGAAGTGGAGCAGCTGGGACTCAAACCAGTGACCATATGGGATACCAGCAAAACAGGTGGCAGCTTTATCTGCTACACCAGAACACTGGCCCCACGGAGTATTTATTCTTAAGAAATAACTTTATTATCTGGTTTTAATTTGTACAAAATTCATTCTATAGATCCAACCTAGGTAAAAGTCCTGTAACATACTCTATTATCAGGAGTTTTTGTAATCATTTAAGACCGAATTTACTAAATATAGACAAAATTCTTACTGTACACAAATGTGAAAAGTAATATATTAGGCATTTTAAGCAATGCCAAAACCAATGAAAAGACTACTCAAGAATGTGATAGATAGATAGATAGATAGATAGATAGATAGATAGATAGGGTGTATAACTAGCCCAAAGTCAGGAGCAAAGGAACTCTATCGAGATCTGCTTTGTGTGTGGCAGGAACCCATCTGCTTCCACCCAGGAGCATTAGCAGGAAGCTGAATCAAAAGTATGAAGTAGCCAGGGCTTCAACCAAGCATCCTGCTATGAATACTTCGGTTACTTAACCCATTGTGCTACAATGCCCACCACAAAAGGAGTCGTTTTCCTCTTTGTTCTGCCTGAGGTTATAAAAAGATTATAAATACCTTCTTCATGCCATGACATGCAGGATAAAGCTTAGGACTTTTGGTACTTGTACCTTTTGTTTAAATGTTAAAAATCAACTTCATGCCTTTTGTTTAAGACTTTCATATTGTAGAAAATTCTCACACTTAAATTCTATGCTGCAATAATAATGAAGCTTTTTGTGTTTTTCCAAAATGTTATAAATTATAAGCAGTATTTTATAATGACATTAAAATGTGCTTGATGTTGGAGTAGTAAGACTAGAATCACATTCTTCCTCCTTAATCTCAACGTGACTACTTGAATATTCATGCACTACAGTCTTAGAATCAAAATTAAGTCCATTTTTATGCTTTTTTTAAACATGAGCCGTATCTTTCAAGCAACAGTTGGTTTGGTTTCCTTTGTTTATACTTTTCTTTCTTTTTTTCTAGTTAGTAACATCTGGTTTCCTTTTTACCTTTGAAAAATGTTTCTGTAACAAATTCTAATTTTTCTGCATTTGACCTATCATGTAGAAATTGTTCCAATGGAGGCTGGCACTGTGGTGTTGTGGGCTAAACCTTCGCTTGCAGCTCTGGCATCCCATATGGGTGCAAATTCATATGCTGGCTGCTCCTTTTCCAATCTAGCTCTCTGCTACGGCCTGGGGAAGCAGTAGAAATGGCCCAAGTGCTTGGGCCCCTGCACCTGTGTGGGAGACCTGGAAGAAACTCCTGGCTCCTGGCTTCAGATTGGCACACAACTGGACCTAGTCATTCACATATAATCTGGGGCTTCTTTTGTGATATGACAGCAGTTACATAGTTACAATATAAACTAGGTGGCTTGCAAAGACTAAAAATATTCAGTATCTGCCTTTGTTTCACGAAAAGTTTACAAACCCCTGATTCGGGAAAAAAAAAAAAAGTTGAGGGCAGAGTAAAGTTATAGGATTCAATAAAAAGCAGGCAGAGTAGAAAAAAAACTGAACACACAGCAACTTGTAAACTAGTCTGAATAGTAAGTAGAATATTAAAAGATAATGGAGCGATTTCTTTTTTTAAAGATTTTATTTATTTATTTGAGATGTAGAGTATGGAGAGATAGACAGAGAGACAGAGGAAGATTTTCTATCCACTGGTTCACTCCCCAAATAGTCACCATGGCCAGAACTATGCCAATCTGACCTCAGAATCAGCCCCTCAGGCCTGACTGAAAACACTATGAGAGCATTTCAGGCATGGCAAGCCAAGACATAGTGGCAAAAATGGTTCTGTATGAAGGATTTCTGTGAGTGAGACCCCAGTGGAAAGATAGCCATGATGATTGCAGTTAACTCTGGACGATGGGGTTGGAGAAGAGAAACATTTTATCTTAAACTCCTCTATGGTTTTTATTATCATAAACAACAAAGACTCTGCTTTTTCTTTTTATGCCCCTAGTAAAAATGTTGCTTTATGAAACTGACCCTCAGCATGCAAACTTATATTCCATGTGACTTTCATGTGGAATATATGAAAGGCACCCAGTTTTTTAATTAAAAATTTCAAAGATACAAAATTGTAAGAGCTCAATGTGGACATAACTTATTAAATTGACTTCTCACCTGAAATAATTACTTTAATGGAATTGATATAGAAAATAACTATATCTTAGTCCCAGCATCATCCCTACATGTTAGGTAAAGGCCTCTGGCCCAGGATGTGGGAAACGTTTAGTGTCTGACACTTAAGAGCTGATTTGATTATATAAGATATGGTTAAAGGTACCCTCGTTTCTAAAGCACCACTGAAATGTTTTAGAATGTAACTCATTGTTGCATGTATTCATATCTTCTGTAGATGAAATTACCACTCTTCAAATTGCACATACAATTAATAAAATCCATTTGAATTCTCAAAAAAAGATTCATTAGTTGTATAATAGCTACATATTGGACTTGGGGCTGAATAAGATTTTTGTCATAACTGACTACATCAAACAATGTTATTCTGATATTCATATTGTTGAAGAGAAGTCTGATGCTGCTCTAAGCATAAGATCTTTGTTTCTTACTTCACTTGGAAAACTGTAGAACCTTCTTTGTATATAAGAGTTCTGGAATAATACGATGATGTGTATATTTTTGAATCATTTTTATTCAAATTATTTTCCACTTGGTGGGACATTTCAAATTGAAAGCTAATGTGTTTCATTCATAGCAAATTTATTTTAGTTATTGGATACTTCATTCTCTTTTCTTTTTTTCTCTTTCATTCTTTTTGGAATGTCTATTGGCAGAGAACAGAGAGTATTCAAATGCTGTTTTATTTTTCTCTTCAGTTGTCTTAGTTTTAATCCCTATTTGTGTTCAAGATGGTTTCTAGTATATTAACTTCCAAAGCCCTAATTGTTTATTTTAGCATACAAGTAAATTTCCTTTTTTTTTTTTTTGACAGGCAGAGTGGACAGTGAGAGAAAGAGACAGAGAGAAAGGTCTTCCTTTGCCGTTGGTTCACCCTCCAATGGCCGCCACGACTGGCGCGCTGCGGCCGGTGCACCGCGCTGATCTAATGGCAGGAGCCAGGTACTTATCCTGGTCTCCCATGGGGTGCAGGGCCCAAGCACTTGGGCCATCCTCCACTGCACTCCCTGGCCACAGCAGAGAGCTGGCCTGGAAGAGGGGCAACCAGGACAGAATCCGGCGCCCCGACCGGGACTAGAACCTGGTGTGCTCGCGCCGCAAGGCGGAGGATTAGCCTAGTGAGCCATGGCGCTGGCCTACAAGTAAATTTCTTTATAAAACAATTGGTATATGTTTGGTGGGGGAGGCGAGAGAGAGAGAGAGAGTGAGTGAGAGAGAGAGAGAAATAGTTAAAGGAAATTGGGCTGCCAGCATTCTGCATACAAGATGAGGAATGTAGAGATTAAGTTCATGTGCAGGATGCTACTGCAATCTCTTACTTGCAGCCAGACTTCTCAAAACCTCCTTGGCGATACTTGCTATTTTGATTCTGAAACTCTTAGGAGTTCCTCTGGTCAGGCCTCATCATCATCCTATCCACTTCTATCTACTCACTGTTTTCCAATTAATTGAAGAAGTTTCTTATCTACAAATGTGCACCATTATCATTCTCTTCATAAGCTTATCTGCAAACATGCACCATTATCATTCTTGTCATTGCTTCTCAACATATAGCTTTTCAAATCACATACTAATTTTTGGAGATTGCCATGGAAGGATAGATTACAAAAACACAATCTCAATTTGAATACTGACCTGAAAATCCTGATTAACATTTTTAAGATTGAAGAATGTTTTCACAGCTCATTCATAATGATCAGTGTATTAAAATACTTATTTCCCATTCCTTTCAACTTATGAGGTATATTTGGAATGATAAGCCAATATGATAAGTAAAATAATGACATCTCATAAATAGCTTATAAATTAGAAAATCCATTTTGTCCTGCAAAATGTCATCCTTCAAAGATTATTGTGAAGACAGAAAACTATCAAGTTCATTATTAACTGATTCTATAATCTATTAAGCTTGCATGATTATACAGCAAAATTCAGGGTACACAATCAGCTCACATCAACTGCTAATCCTTAGATTTTACTTTTATGCCAGCAATCCCATTAGATTCTCATTAACATATCAAATATTCAAATGAAAATGCCCCTGGAAGTTTTCAATCAGTATTCTTTATGTGATAAAGTCTTGGTATTATTATTTTTCTTGCTCAAGTAGCAATATACTTAAAATAGTCGCATTCTTTTTAATTTTGATTTATTTGTTTTCATTTATTAGAGAGACAGAGAAAGACAGAGTTCCTACATCCACTGATCCATTCCCTGAATTCCTGCAATAGCCAGAGCTGGCCCAGACAAAAGCCAGGAATCCAGAATTCAGTCTGGGTCTTCCCCACTGGTTCAGGTAGGTACTTCAGTCATCACTATCTGTCTCCCAGGGTGTGCATTAGCAGGAAGCTGAGATCAGAAGCAGAGTTCAGTCTTCAACACAGGAATAGTGATACTGGATACAGGCATCCTGATGACATTTTTTTAAACAAGATTTATTTATTTATTTGAAAGACAGAGTTACAGAGAGGAGATGTAGAAGTAGAGGTAGAGGTAGAGAGAGAAAGAGAGAGGGAGATCATCAAAATGGCTGCAAGGGCCAGGGATGGGCCAGATCAAAGCCAAGACACAAGGGTTTCATCCAGGTCTCCCATGTAGGTACAATGGCCCAAGGACTTGGACCATCTTCCGCTGCTTTCCCAGGCACATTAGCAAGGATGTGGATCAGAAGTGAAGCAACCAGGACAGGAAATGCAGGCACTGCAGGCTGCAGCTTTACCCACTATGCCTCAGCTCGCCCCCAGTGGGGCATTTTAAATATTGTGCTAGATGCCTCTCCAAGTTTTAGTATTTTTATGTTAGCTTCTAAGTCTCATTAAGTTGAATTTCAGAAAAAGAGCTTTGTGATCTATTTATGGCAGAAATACTCTCATGATTTTACAAACTTCATGCCATAGCATGAATATTTTATTTTTCCTCCAGAATTTATAATAACAAGACATCTAAATTTCAACCTTTATTTCAAAATTTTATTCTATGAATTGCAACTATTTACCTTAGTTGATAGCACAAGAAAATTTAAGGCCCCCAAAATGCATGCATTTCAAAGTTGGAACATTGGTACTTCATTCTATTCTGTCCTGAGAGTATAAAAGTTCTTCTCGTCTTAGGTGATAAGATTTAATTAAAAGATTATAAGATTTATTGAATACTTAGATAAATACATACAGAAAGAGAGGGGAAGAAAAAGAAGCATGAAATCTGTACTTTTGTATATACAGTATACAGTGTGTATACACATACATGCGTGTGTGTACACTCCCCCACACACATACACATGCAAGCATACCTCCTACACACAATGTCTTTCAAATTTTCACGATAAATACATGAGAAAACTATGCATTAATTTTAAAAATATTTACAGCAAAGAAATTTATCTTTTAATTCTATTTTACTAAAGTCCCTTTGAGTACACATGCTAAATTTGGGCCATAATCCCAACATGATCATAATGAATTTTGGTGTCCCAAAAAGGTAAACTTCCAAAAATATAATTCTGGAAAATGCAAATTAAAAATTATATAGAATGCATTTACTTACATTTTTGAAATTGGACTTATTTGAGTAGCAGAAAAATACAACAAAACACTTGATAGGGCACTTTACATGAATAAAGAGGAAATAGTAACAGATATATTTCTGCAAGCATAAGAACTCAAGTATACTAATGACACTTGATAGAGTATAATAGTTCAAAGCAGATGAAATATAATTATAAAGAAATAAGTCACAAGGTAAAATGTGTAAATGATTGTAATTAGGGTTGGTAGTTGTGTGCACCTAGATTTATAACTGCTGTCATTTGAAATACCATGACAAATCACCTAAAGCTTTTGACCAAATGGATCAGAAACTGCAATGGGTCACCACTACATAAGCAGTCACCCAAAGAACCAGATCTTAAACACTTTTATCTTCCACACACGCAGATGTACATAATGGGCATCTCTTTATTTATTAAGGAAGTTTCAGAATTTTTACAAACACACAATGCTTGTGCAAAAATACAACATTGTAATAATGCATTTTCATGTACTCAGGTTTGCAAAAAAGTACCTAAATGGAATTAGAACTTTCTAAAAATCTTTAAACAACTACTTATTTCAGTGTTGGAATTGATGTGATATGAAATACATAGTGTAGAGAATTATTAAAACATAATGCTGAGGATTTCTAAAACTAGGGGAGGAAGCTAAAGAAAGAAAGACAATGACAAAGAAAAAATTTGACACATGAAAAAGTGTATTTACAGGAATAGATTATGGGACAGTACACAGAAGTAATCCCCAAAAATGAAACAACTTTGACTACCATTAATTATATCTGAGTCTTCCATCATGAAAAGTACTTGTTTATGGCATGGTGCTCGCATTATTCAATTTTTTATTTTTATTACCTTAATTTTTATTACCTTAACTAGAGTACATGAAATCAGCTTCTTGGGAAATAAAATGATTAGTTTATCTTATAGTTTGGACATTCACAGTTTCAAATAAGCTAGCCTGCCACATTACTCTGGCTTCTGGTGAAGTTTCTACAGAGGAATGATCACATGGTGGGCCAGGAAGCAGAGAGAGAAGATAGACCCATCTCAAACAACCAAACCTCCCATCAGAACTACCTTCCAAAGGCCAGTCCCCAAGGACTTAAAGACTGCCCACTGGCTCTAACTCCAAGTCACCATAATTAGTTCAAATCTCCACCCTAATTGTTCATTAACATTACTCCATTCACTATTAATGTAAGACTTTGGGATGTAGAGATCTGTATTACTTTGAGGTGCTAAATCCTCTTCAACACATAAACTTCTGCCTCTGACTCTTCAAAACTCAATCCTTGAGAAAGAAAGGAAGCGAAAAAAGAGAGAAAGAGAAAGGAAAAGGGAGAGGGAGAGGGAGACAGAAGGCCTATAAATATCTGTATTTCCACAAATATAGATTTGTAAAACTTTGTTTTATACTTCTGTCAAACCAATGGTTAACATTGTTATACTACTATAGTTTAATGATCAGTTGTCACTTAAAAATGTACTGTATATAGATGAAATGGTCATTTTTCAATTACTGTATATATATATATTTGTTATTCAATTATTGTTGATAGCATTGTTTATTCAATTATTGCTTATGGGCATTGTCTATATTCCCACTAAACTAGGTTCTTTTTACTTTTAAAATGTTAAACTTCTTATTCAGTGAAGCAGTAAGCCTTTTTAACTGTAATATAAATTTAACATATGTTATCTCCAGAAGAGCCAACATGGCAGAATAGGAGGGAACTTACTGCTCTAGTCTAGGGGCAGGTAGCTTAAAAAAATTGGAAAGATTGCAGTCTCAGGGAAGTGTTAGGGAGAAAACTGTAGTAGAAACTCCATGCAAGTTAGAAGGATGCTGTGGATCTATGTGGAGGGTGTGGATGTGCTGCATGAACATGGACACAATACAGAACCACAGTAGTTGAGAACTTCAGCACCAGCTATGCAGAGTGAGGTGAGATCAGACTGCAGCAACCCAAGCCACTGGTGATAAAGCTGTGAGGAGAGCCTGGAGTGAGTCTAGTTGGACCCCTATAGGGAACAGTGTACCTGCCAACCCAGAGGGAAAATAGAGACACCTTTCTCTCTCCCCAACCACTCAGCAATGGTGTCCTGCAACTAGCTTCCTTTTTTGACATACATAGCAGCTGTGCCTGTTTGTGTCTGTGCACCAAGCAACCACCCAAGAGGAGATGCCTGAGTCTGGCTGGGAGAATTGACCAGGGGCAGGGTGCCCGTGACTGTGGGAACCTTGTGTTCTGGGACTGTGAAAACAGTGTGGCTGTGCAGGAGGGCACAGAGTGTGGCTGGGTCACTGGGCAGTCACTGTGGGTGGCTCTACAAACTTGGGGCCTACTGATTGCCTGAGGAAGAGATCCATGCTCATATTGAGGGCTGCACAGATCCTTTTTGAGGTTCTGGATGAATATTGCACCCACTGGGGCTAGCACACAGGCATTGGTTGCCTTGGAGGAGAGGAGGTGAGTATGAGACTTTGCCAACATAGTTCACCAAGCCCTCCCTTCAGATAACAAAAGTGATTTACCATGCCCAACTTGGGTATAACCTTAGACACTCCAGTAACCCTGAAGCACTGACCAGAGCTCCCTGACCACACCCAGCACATGCCTCTGGACAGTCATTGAAAGACCAGACACTCGACTAAGTCACAAAGGCATAGTTCAAAAACACATGCCAAGAATTCATTTTTGCTCTTTTGTTAAGAATAAGCTGTTTGTGAATGCATGGGTTGATTTCTGGAACTTATGTTGGTCTATGCATCTGTTTTTGTGCCAGTCCCAGGTTGTTTTGATTATAACTGCCCTGTAGTATGTCTTGAAATCTGGTATTGTGATGCCTACACCTTTGTTTTTATTGTATAAGACTAATTTAGCTATTCGTGGTCTCCTGTTTTTCCATACAAATTTCAGTATCATTTTTTCTATATCTAAGGTGAATATCTGCTATTTTGATTGGTGTCATATTGAATCTGTATACATTTTGGAATTGCAGACATTTTGATAATATTGGTTCTTCCAACCTATGAACATGGAAGATTTTTCCATTTTTTGTGTCTTCTTATAACTCTTTTTTTAATGTTTCATTATTTTTTGTAGAGATCTTTGATATCCTTGGTTAAATTTATCCCAAGTATTTAATTTTTTTGATGAGAATTTTTTTGTTTATATTCATCATGGAAATTGGTCTGTAGCTCTTTTTCTCTGCTCTTTTTCAGGTTTCAGAATTAGGTGTCCTCTTCTATTTCTTTCTTTAAGGTTTTGTAATTTACATCATAGAGATCCTTAATGTCCTTGGTTAAGTTTATTCCAAGGTATTTGATTGTTTTTGTAGCTATTGTGAATGGGATTGATCTTAGAAGTTCTTCCTCAGCCGTGGCATTGCCTGTGTATACAAAGGCTGTTGATTTTTGTGCATTGATTTTATATCCTGCTACTTTATAAATCAAAACCACAGTGAAGTTTCACCTCGCCCTCATTAGAATTGCTTTCATACAGAAATCAACAAACAACAAATGCTGGCAAGAATGTGGGGGAAAATGTACCTTACTCCACTGTTGCTGGGAATGTCAATTGGTGCAGCCACTATGGGAGACAGTATGGAGATACCTCAAAAATCTGCATATAGACCCACCATAAGACACAAGCATCTCATCCCTGGGAATTTACTCAAAGGAAATAAAATCAGCATATGAAAGAATTACCTGTACCTTGATGTTTACTGCAGCTCAATTCACAATA